CCCTTGGTCGCCCTGCCCTTGGTCGCCCTGCCCTTGGTCGTTCTTCCCTTGGTCATTCTTCCCTTGGTCGTTCTTCCCTTGGTCGCCCTGCCCTTGGTCGCCCTGCCCTTGGTCGCCTTGCCCTTGGTCGCCCTGCCCTTGGTCGTTCTTCCCTTGGTCATCCTGCCCTTGGTCGCCCTGCCCTTGGTCATCTGGCCCTTGGTCGCCCTGCCCTTGATCACCCTGCCCTTGGTCGTTCTTCCCTTGGTCGTTCTTCCCTTGGTCGTCCTGCCCTTGGTCGCCTTGCCCTTGGTCGCCCTGCCCGTGGTCGTGCCCTTGCTCTGTTTTGGTTTCTGTTACACAGACACACCTGCCTCAGCAGCAGGGTGCTAACTTCGGTGGTTTGAGCATTACAAGGGTGTCCTGCTCGGGGGATGGGGGGACCTTCCCTCAGCCCCGTGCGCGGGGGTCCTCCGGGCCTGGTGTGGCTGCTATAAACCTTCACTTCCTCGTGCTGGGCGCTTAGGTTGTTCCCCTTTTAAGTTTCCTCCCTTGGCCCGCACCCCCGGGACGGTGGCCCCTGTGGCCCCCCCCCCGCCCCCCGGCAGTGACCGGCCTCCCCTCCAGGAGCTGCAGCGGCTGGTACGCCTCACGAGGCAGGAGGCGCACGCCCAGCAGCAGGCCCGGGAGCACGAGGCCGAGCGCCTCCGGATCGAGATCGTGACGCTCCGCGAGGCGCTAGAGGAAGAGACGGCGGCCAGGGCCAGCCTGGAGGGGCAGCTGAGGGTGCAGCGGGAGGAGACAGGTGAGGCACGGGGAGCGGGGCCACCCCGGCCTCGCTCCCGGGGAGGCCAGGAGCGGGCAGCGAGGAGCCGGTGTGTAAGAAGGAGGAGCCTTGACCTCTCTTTTTTCCTTTCCGCACAGAGGTGTTAGAGGGTGAGTAGGGGCCGGAGCCCGGCCGGGCGGGGCGGGAAGGAGGGGGGCCGTGGGCCTGACGGCTGGCCCCTGCCTGACTTCCCAGCCTCCCTGTGCAGCCTGAGGACGGAGATGGAGCGGGTCGAGCAGGAACAGAGCAAGGTGAGGCTGGCCTCCAGGGCCGGACTCAGTGACGGCGGAAGACCCTCCCCGGCCCCTCCTGCCCTTTCTGTCCCCGTGAGGCCCGGTGGCAGGAAGCCGTGAGGCAGCCACCGGGCCCGGCCCCACGGAAGACGTCAGAGTCAGGGGTGGTGTGGAAGGGGCTCCCCCGTCCACACCCCGCATGTCCCCGTGCGGCGCGAGTCCCCAGCCCTGCGTCCTTTCCCCCCAGGCCCAGCTCACAGACCTGCTCTCAGAGCAGAGGGCGAAGGTGCTGCGGCTGCAGGCGGAGCTGGAGACCAGCGAACAGGTGCAGAGGGATTTTGTACGACTGTCCCAGGCCCTGCAGGTACGGGGTGGCCCCTTCCCCTCAGGCGGCCGGGATCCAGGCGGCTCGCCCTAGGTCCTCCGAGGACAGCCTTCCAGTTAGGGGCGTCCTCGTCCTCCTCCCGAGGCTGGCATCGTCCTTCCCTCTGGGCTGTTGCTCAGAGGCAGCGGCAGACCTCGGGCGCCCGTCTCTGCGGGCCGTGTGAAGCCCGCGGCCCGAGCCTGGCGTGCGGCGCCTGCCCCTGCCCACACTTGTCAGGCCACCCTCTTAGGACCCGTTTCTTCCCTTGAATCCCGGTTTCACCGTGGGCCGGGGAAGGCGGGGCCCCTGGGGGGGCGGGCGGGGGGGGCGGGGGCGGCATTTCCCCACCAAGGGCCCTCTTCCTCCCTCACTGGGCCCCACAGGTGCGTCTGGAACGGGTCCGCCAGGCGGAAAGTCTGGAACAAGTGCGCGGTATCATGGATGAGGCGCCACTCAGGGACATCAGGGACATCAAGGACACCTGAGCGGCTAGAAGCCACCCACCTTGGGGGAGACTGCCTTTCCCCGCTCCTGAACCCAGAGGCCTGGGCTTTGGTGGGGGGCGGGGGGTCTCAGGATAGAGTCTTCATCCCCTCCAAGCCTGGGGTTGGGGTGCTGGGGCCACCACTGCCCTCTCTCCAGCACCTCCCCCCAGGGGTGGCTGGCCTCCTGCTCCCAAGGACGACACCTGGGCCGGAGTCCCAGCCCCCCTCCAGGAACCAAAGGTGTAGGCTTAGCCCTGCGGCTTTCTGGCTGCCATGCTGCCTCCTGGGTCCCAGCCCTCCTGCCCCGCCCCAGCCAGACCGGCAGCCGGGCCCTGGGTGGTGGCTGGGAGCCTCTGGCCCACAGCAGCCGGTCCCTCCACACGCGCACCCCGGGACAGGCAGCTGCTTTCTGGACTGCATGACACTAAGATGCTTGTCCCCAGGGCCCGACCCAGGCCCCAAGACGTGCACAGAGGCAAGACCAGACTTTTCTGTCATTTATTTTCAATAAATAAGCAGCTCAGCTCAATCCGTCGCCTTGTCCCTGCAAGCCCCATGGGGTTGGGGAGGGGAGGTTTTACAAGAGCAGAAGGGAAGGTGTGCTGTCGAGGAGGGTGGAAAAGTGAAAGGGACCCTCATGTTTATAAACAGAAAACCGTAGGGGAGAGGAGGGGACGTGGGCGTCTGTGCCACAGCTCTGGCCGAAGATGCGTCACTATCAGGGTGGGGAAGAAGGGGCAGAAGGAGTGGTTACTTCCTCCTTTCATCTTCTGGATCTGGAAGGAGAGGGAAGGATGAGGCAGGGGGCAGGAGGGGAGAGGAAGGGTCCGTCCCAGGCTCTGTGGCCCCTCTCCCCGGCACACTCACCTGGAGGGTCGCCCCGGACTCACCTGCGTCCCAGCCCCCACTCCTCCCCGGCACGGCAGCCCCGGCAGCGGACAGCTCAGCCCCAGCCCCGCAGCCCCCAACCCCCAGCCCTGCAGCCGAGCCGGCCCCTGGGACTCCAGGATCATGACCTGAGCCGAAGGCAGTCGCTTAACCAACTGAGCCACCCAGG